CAGCCCAGCCGCTTTCTTGGCTGGTTTGCTGGGATCTATATATCCAATCTAATTATTTTGATTCCCATTTCCAACCCTATCAGTGGTGCAGTGGTGCAAGAAATCAAAATGCCAGTCTCCCAAATGTTTTAGAACCTAAAAGCTAACAGCTACTCATTTGCAGAGGCATCACTGCATGGCTCAAAGCCCCTGTCACCAGGCAATTTACGTTCAGTGTTCTGGATGTGACTCGAGAGGGGTTTCCCAGCACATCAATACAGAGCATTTCATATAACATTTCAGGTATGCTACAGGTTGTTGCATCATCTTATTTTGTCACAGCATAACTGACAAAAAACCCCAGCAACGCTTTGTTCAAATTTTGTCTCTTTTTAAAGACTCAAGTCCTCCTTCTTTGTTATTTTTCCCTTTGTTTACTTAAAAGGCAAAAAATAGGATCATACAATCTTATCTTCCCTTAAGTGATCAGAAGAGAGAGTCAGCAATAATCCTGCCAAAACACCTACTACCCTCTCAAATCAGGGGGATCATATGTTCCTCAGTAGCTGAATTTCCCTGTGGATCTTTTCTCTGCTTAGAAGCTGTCCCCTTCTTGAATTACAGTCTTAGATTACTAATGCTCAGCACCACCAAAAATATTCCCATTCATTTCTCCAGCTTTTACAAACATGATAACATGATTTGTGTTTAAATATAAGCGTCACCATTTTACTTTTTATTATGAATATCATATGTTTGGCAAGCTGTCTGACCTTCCTTACGATGATGAATGCTACAGCAAACAATTTGCTGTATCTTTAAAGAAATGGCCAATTCAATTACATTATGCCAGAAGCTTTCAAATCCCTCTCTGCCAAATGTCTTTGCTATATCCTGCCACAGACAGCCCATTTGTATTCCAGCACAGTAGGACACTTGTTTTGTTGAAGCACACAGTTCTAGTTAGGTACTATCAACAGAGCAGTATTTCAGTTCTCCAGCTCTGTGCTCCTTCCACCCCCTCTACCCTCAGTTATCAGGATTTTCAATTTTACTGACCAAACGTGTATGCATTACTAATTATGTGCATGAAATGCAGTAGTTATCAACTGCTACAACAAAATACATTAGTGGCCAATTACAGCAGCTCTTGGCAGCAATGGTTATCATTCTAGTGGATTTAATCATTGCACTTAAAGTGAAGCTTGAGATTCCCTTTGAGATTACACCACTAATTGCTTCTGTTTTGCCAGTTACTGCATGAGCTGTTTGCAAAAAGGATCACTAAAGATGCTTTCTAAATATGGGAAAGCAGCAAACAGATGAAGCCTCCTGCAATGAGTGTCCCCCCCCAGTAAAACCACAGTGTCGATTTATTCATACCACAATGCTCCTCTCAGATTCATATCCCAGTCACCTCCTCTTTCCCTCTCATTTCTTGTTATTTGGGCAGACAGCAGCAGTACAGCTGCACTGCTATTCATGTGAATCATGCCACACACTATCATTTATTTATATAGATACTGAGAATATTACACTGCAAAAATAAAAAAAAAGGTTTCTTCTTTTTTTTTTTTTTTGCGGGGGGGTTCTTCTTATTTTTTTTTTTGTTTTTGCCGGATTTTTAAATTGTTTTTCCCCTTTAAAGGAAAAGGGAAAAAAAAAACCAAAAAACCTTAGACAAGTACATTATTTATTACACGTACAATACCATCCTAATAGGCTTCCACTCTCCAGGAATTCCTAAAATCAAACACTCCCCCTCTCCAAAGGAATTTGTAATGTAACATATTGTTCTTTAAAAGCTCACATCTACTTCCAGGTTGTCAGTAGTGACGAATTATCTGGTTTACAGCCTCATAAAGCAAAAGTGTCTATATATTTTAATGCTGAAGCCCACCCCAGGACTTTGGCACCTTTCAAATGTAGTGATATACCACTTTACAAACACAAAAGAAAGACTTCAGGTGAAACAAAGAGAATTGTCAACATTTTAGGTCTGATCAAAATAAGTAGTCTTTCAAAGACAAAAGAATGGAGAAGGATTACAATTACAGTTTTGTTAGCTGAGAACAAGCTATTTTAATCAATACAATTGTTTAAATAAATTTGTTTGTCTCCTTTTCATTAAAAATTTCAGCTACTAAAGCTTTCCATTATTCAAACACCACTCTGTGAACAATAAGGAAACACTCAAAAATATTAAAAAACCCAACAATCTTCAACAAAAATATTCTCATGAGCTTAGAAAATCTCCTATGTTTGTCTCAACAAACACCAACATTTTTAGGATTTCAATAGATGCTAGGTTGATAAAACTTTAATTAGAAACTTAATTGATCTCTGTAAGAGAGATACTGTAGTGAAAGTTTTAAATCCCCAGAGACTTCTACACGAGAAACAGCAGAGCATATGACATCTTTAAAAACTGTCAAAAACCATACACTGTGATTTACAAAAATAACAGCAATCTCTGTGAAATTAACTGCTAAAAGAAGTTGAAAAGCTTCATCCTACAGGATCAACAGGCTACAGCACCAGCACCAGTCAGCTTTACTTCAGCCTCTAAATTTGGCATGGACCTACCAATCCCTGGAAAAGAACAAACCCCAGCAGAACCAGGATTACATCACTGATACATCTATCTTGCTTCACGCCCAGTTGTGGATTTGCTCAGAACCCGCTGATCTTTCCAGAACAGCAGGCACAAGAACTGCTGCACACAGGATGCTCTCAAAACCAAGGCCAGTTCATTTTCATGCTTAACAGAGAAGATCTTGCCCCAAGGCACTCAATTTCGAGTCTGAATGAGAAAATCTGTATGCGATGTGGTAACTACAGTAACTGGCAAATAATAAATCGAGTAAAACACCTAGAGATCAATCCTATATTAATGAAGGAACACACTACACAATTCAATTGGATTATTCCCATTCTTAGTTCACAAGTTCTTGACTTCTACCTTATTAGACAACAATTAAGGACAATTTTCAATACAAAATCTGCCACAGTATCTTTGTCACTATACCTACAGGTCCTCCAGTCCAGCAGAATGACTGCCTTTCTTTTGTATGGGCAAGCTCCTGTCTCATGTATGCAGGCACAGAATCTAAATTACAATTCCAAGAAGACTGCAATTGTATCTGGAATTTCTAGTACTGCCTTTCAAATGAGGAAACAGTAATAAATCAGGAGAAGAAAATATTCCCAAAATGAACAGCTGAGCTTATGCTCAAAATACAAAATACAAAAGGTTGGGAAATAGCTGTCGTTCATCACTGTCAAAAGCAATAGACTAAAATATGCAGAGTACACAGGAAATAAATGAAAACATTTGCTTCATGTTAGTATAGAAGTTAAAAGAAATAAGGCAAAAACCTCTCTCAAAGGTCCCTGCTGGATTTAAAACAGAGCTGTTGAGCCAAATGGGATTTCAAAACGTGCCACTGTCATTTAAGAACATTGAACTTCTCTTCTTTAATAAACCTTACACCTGTTCACTAGTCCAGAGGCCTAATTCCTAAAACCATAGACAGCAAGTGCAAGACAAGGAACTAGAACTTCAATAAGAACTACTAATGCACAGGAAAGCAACCAGTAACTTAATAATACAGTCTCAGGCACGATATGTAATTCACCTAACTTACAAATCAAAGAATGATAACACTAAATGCTACCATGATGTATTAATGAATTAAGTCTTATTTGTGCATAGCTCACAAAGCCTGGCAGATTTTTAGGTTACGTATTTAATTCTCTTTAATATTGAAAGCAATGAGAGACATTTTTGTCTATTACTGTACTGCAGGCATAAACACAGTAAATACTCTAGCAAAATGAAATACACTTTTTTATGCAGTGATGTGATGGATATCAATTTCTCAGTTCATGCACTAAGTAGAAGAATATGAATAAACCACAGCACAGATTTGGAATAAACAGCACTAGTAACAAGTTTAGACCATATTAAATTGAGAGACTTTCAGCTGGTAAGCATTGTTTTCAAAATTTAATGTAGATACCAGTAAGGATATTCAGCTTAGTAAAGCTCTCTAAAACCAAAGATAATTCTTTTAGCATGAGAAATGCCAGCAGAAAGAAAGGCTCCAGCTCTAGCAATTGTTTCAGAAAACTCAATTAACTTGCCCATTTTTAAAAATAAAAACCAGCAGAAAGAAGTTTCATCCTAGAAAAAAGTTATCTCCTCATTAATATTACAGATATTTCATATATTAATATGTATGACTAAATAAATGCATTAAATAATAAGTAAAACATCAAGATATCTTTTTGACATGTAAAATCATTTTTTGCAACCAGATTAATGCTTAAGTTGCAAAGAAAGCTATGTGCATAAATGGAAAATACTCTTCCTGCCTTTCAGAAAACTGTGTAGGCTGAGTTTGGGACTGGGGGACTCCAGATGCCAAGGAATGTCTACCACATGCCCCATCCAAGCTGATGAAGAAAAGCTGTCCCTGTTCTGTTTTAGTGAAAGCAAACCCCAATCAAGGCAATAGGTTTGGTCTCAAAAAACACCTCTTATGAAATGAGCATTCATCCTTTCCAAGACAACCTTCCACAGGGTCATCTTCTCAGCTTTCACCCTCTGATGACCTCATATTCAACCTGGCCTGACCTTCAGTTTGGCTGAGTCTCAGTTCCTTACTATGATTACAAACCAGCAAGATTAAGTTAAGCTTTAACAAACTCAGACATTAGTCTGAAGAAAAATAACTGCAAAGGCAAAACATCAAAATACCAAGAAATCCTGTTTATAAGCTATGTTTCATTCTATGGAGACTTCAAGGGCAGCAATAAAAAGAAAATGTACTGCAAAGCACTGAAGGCCCTATAGCACATTCCCTCCCTTGCAGGTAGCCCTACCACTTCTGGTCTTTGTCAATTCAAAAGCCAAAGTATTGTCTGAAGTTACAACTGCAATTAGGTATGGAGATGCTGAAAAATGTTTCAGAGTCTTAACATTTTGTACATCTGATTTGTACTAAGTATTCACTTACTCAGGTGCAAGAACAGTCAAGGTCCCCAGTTTGCCCCAGATTTTCTCTTCAGGCCAGTTTTATCCTTAGGTACCTGTGCACAGTAAAAAAAATATAAAAAAAAAAAAAAGATAAAAAAAAAAAAAAAAAAAAAAAAAAAAAAAAAAAAAAAAAAAAAAAAAAAAAAAAATTATTTACATTACTCCTAATAAGTTCATCTCATGATTAAATCAACTTTATGGCCCCAATTTAAAAACTCAGATCTCCAGTTTTTCTCACAGGATTATTTCTTATCACTATCATTAACCTGAAGAAAACTCAAAGCTGTTTTCCCCCAATAAAAATACTGAGTTTTATTTGACCTGTGTGTGTGTGTGTGTGTGTGTATATATATATATAGACAGATTTAGATTTACCATGACCCTAAATGAAAGAGTTTTCTGTAAGAAAACTCATATAAATCCAACCTAATAGATGGTGGGATTGCTTGGTTTAGGTATATTTCATCACCTGTTTTTAGGAGCATAAACAGAGAGCACACAGTTATGCCTTTGTTAGCCATATATTTAAACTACCTTAAAGCTGTTAATATGTGACAAGCAAATCCTACGTATTCAATTACTGCTTCAAAAATTGAAAGAAGGTTCATGTACAGGTACACTGTCACTTAGTTAAGGAGCTCAAAAAATAGAGTTATTCTTTCTCCTGGCACTAGTATGGATTAAAAAAACATTTTCAAAATGTGCCATTCAACCATATGGAATCAATTTTTGCAGACATATGGAGCGCCAATTAAATAAGTGTGGTTTTGCTGACACAAAAGTCCACCTGCACGTATTCAAATTTTCCAGAATTAGACCATCTAATTTAGAGCAGCCCATTTAACAGTAAGAGAGTAGAAAAGCAATGTATTTGATATGACACAACCTCTGTAACCAGTCTCCTTAAATAGTAATTGCAGCCTTACTTCTGACCATGGTCAGGATATAATCAGATAAGATTGAATTAGCTACCCTGAAATACAGCTCCAATTACATCAGATCAAAAGAGAATAATTTTTTGTCTTCTCCTTCATGCAAGTAAATATATAATTGGGAAATTAAGCAAGGTACAATTTTTCAAAAAAGATTTTAGCAGAAGTCAACAGAAATTAGAAAACTGACTGTAACCGTACTTCCTAGATTTTTTGCACATATTTTCCCACAGTAAATGTACAGAAAGCATGCCATTTAAAGAAACAGAAGTCAACAAGCTACACACACACATCAACACTCTAAATAAAATACTAATATAAGTATCATCTAATGGTGTGGAAACTAAAAAAAATTTAATGTAAACTCTTCAGAAGTTTTTTTCTGTTGGGTTTTTGTTTTGTTTTGTTTTGGTTTTTTCCCCAGGATTTGCAGTTAATTGGGCACCCTTGTTCAAATCTAGTTTGACTGACTTTCTATTAGGTGATAATGCACAGGTTTTTTTCCACAGGACCTCAATCGCATTTGGTGAATACGGTAGCTAGAAGAGAGTAGTGAAACTCTACCCAGTGGCTGCATTCCACATGGTCACAGCACAGCTCTGCACACGCACTGCTCCACGTTACCCTGTGCTTTCCAGAACTGCACTCTGAGGACAGAATGCCCGTTCTCGGACAGAGCTCCCTTTGCTGCTGCCTGGTAACAACAGACCCCTGCCAGGGGCATCATGTCATCCCAGAGACAAGAGAACTTCAGAATCAGGAGCACTGCAAACTTTACTGTCAACCAGGTTCCTAAAATTAATTTTTCAGAGTATTTAACTTTTTATAATATCTTAACTAATTCCCTGGAGAAGCTGTATCCACCCAGTTTCCTAGCTAAGGTGCCACACGTCTCCCCTCGCTTGTGACCAGCCCATTCACTATCTGTCTTAGGATTTCCACAACAAATAAAAGCACGTTTCCAGATATCTGTCCTTCTTTGCTGCAGTCTTCACACATCTGTTCCACTTGGAAAGACCGTGCAATTCTGAGATCATAGAATTTTAAACAGTATCATAATGCAAATGTCCAGGCAAGCTCAGTTAACATATTTTAGACAATCTTAATTCTGTGCCTTCCCAGCTTTGCAGGACTTGCTCTTTGTAGCTCTTTCTGTGCTTGGCTTTTTAAGATAGTAGCCATTGAAATGGAAAAGCTCCATCTTGCTCAATACAGATACTCAGTCTCTCTCAAAACTTCTCATCCAAGCCTTACTATTGCCAATCCTATGGACATATGCTACTGCCCCCATCCACTCTCACCTTTAGGCTCAGTTTCCTATCTGGGATCCCAGTCCTGCCTCCCTGCCTCTTTTCAGTGACCACTTCATTCCAACAGTTTCATTATATGATATATTGCTCCTACCCCGTAACCAGAGTCCCATTAGCTTCCAGCTCTCCTATACCAGCATTGCTTTTCATCTCTCAGCTTTCTGCACCCTTCACAGATCTCTTCGTTTTTCCATATCGCTTTTCACCTTCCAATGTTTCTCCCACTTCTTTACTCCCCCACTCACTTCCTGTGCTTCCCTCTTGCCCTTGCAGTTTCCAAATTTTTTCTCAACAACTAACTCCATGTGTTTTCCTAGTTCCTACGCAGTCTTTGTGATTAGCATGCCACAGCCATGGCTGCTACGCTTTGTGCAGAACTCACTTCTAATGATGGGTGTTAAAGAGATCTGTACAGAGGCTAATGAGCAGGAACACTTAATTTCAGGATGCTAGAAGAACTGGGGCAGAAGAAAAGCCAAACCAGGAGTGCATAAATAGAATTTTAGGCATTTAAATACCTCACTACAGAAACCTATATATTTAGATGTTAAGGCAGCTGTATGAAGGCTTTGTGGACTGTAGCTACTTCTGTCTTCCTGTTAGATTAACATCATCCACACTTCAAAATTTAAAAACAAAATCCTTCTACAATGAACCAAAATTAAGTTACTTAGAGTCTAAGTCTCAATCTAAACTCAATCTACATCTCAGTTAACAGCAAGTTACTCATACTTTTTTAAAACCTTTTTTTCCAAAGAGAAAACAGACCCTGATTCAGTCAAATATATTAAGTACTGTGAAGGAGGGGAAAGGGGGTTTTAATTAAAAACAGGGTTTTCTTGTGACTATTTACCAAGGATAAGTGTTCTTATCATTATTCTACAGAAGAAAGTAGATAGTAGCATACGTTCATCTATTTTTGCCCAGAAGTATGAGCTAACCAAAGACATCTTCCTTTTCTGTCTCAAACTAACCTGCCTTTGGTGCGTGAATGGGTTAAGAGCCCTTTGGTTGAATTTAAGATTATTTTAGAATATTATAGAATACCAGATTGGAAGTGACCTATTGAATCATCTGATCCAACCTTCCATGGCAAAAGCACAGTCTAGGTAAGATGGCCCAGCACGCTGTCCAGACAAATCTTAGAAATGTCCAATGCTGAGGAATCCACAGCTTCCCTGAGGATATTATTCCAATGGCTGATTGTTCCCATTATAAAAAATTTTCCTCTTGTGTTTCAATTAGCATCTCACCAACATTTAACTATTACCCTTCATCATTTCAATGGGACTCCTTGCAAAAAGGGAGTCTTCACCATCTTTGTAGCTACTAAGCCTTCTTCACACAAGACTGAATAAAGTCCATTCTCTCAGCCTTTCCTCACATGGCAGGTTCCCAGCCCTTTGCTCATCTTTGTGGCACTTCTCTGGACCTCCTCCAGCCTGTCCTCACGTTTTTGTACAGTAGGGACCAAAAAATGAGCACAGCACTCCAGGTGTGGCCTGGCAAGCATGGAGTGGGACAATGACTTTTAACTTATTTCTGCTGGTGATTCCCCTATTGCTGCAGCCCAGCATCCCACTGGCATCCCTTGCCACAGCAGCAGACTGTTCTCTCACATGGAACTCGCTGCCCACCAGAACAGCCATGTCCCTTTCCACAGAGCTGTTTCCCAGGTGGGTAGATAAATACCTGCACTCCTGGATCATGAGCAGATCCCTTCTATGCTACCACTGTATTAGGACTACTGTGCCATTGAATAAGAGCATACTTTCGTAATGAGTACAAATGAATGATTCAGTGCTAGAAGTTTGCTGAGGAGAAATTTCTATTATGTTTTGGTTCTTCCAACACTGAATCTAAAAAGAAAAAATATGTCCCTGATTTAACTGAAAAAAATCCCATAGACTAGTTGTTTTTTTTATATTTAAACAGCAAATTATCAAAAATATTTAGGTCAACTACAACAACATAACCCTCCAACAACTTTTTGTGTCCAACATATAAAAATTAGGTATAAATTTAATATCATTAATGAACATAGTATTTACAAATAAATCACCCATTCCTCTGTTGAGCCACACTGAGTTAAGTACACTTTAATGCTAAAGTGGTATCTAATTATCTTTATTTGATCCCAAATGCAAAAGGGAAATAAAAATGTTCAAAATACTTAGATCTTGCTGATAAGTACTAAACACTGAAATGTATGCTGGATAATGGATGATGGTATTTTTTCTAATTTCTTCTAAAGAGGTCTCAAACAGTCACATGAATATATTTAATTCATAGAACTGCTCATTCCTTCATATCTTTTATTTCCTGCTGCTGCTGAGGGCAGAAAGAGATTTAGTTATCCTGACTCCCATCCCCAGTATTGCCTGACCCAGAAAATTCACCACTGTCACTTCCCATAGAGAAAGGAGGACAGTCAATATGAATCATGCTCTGGGAACTGGGCTTCAAAACCTAACTAATGCAACAACTACAATTCATACAGAAGCCAATTATCACTTGTGATCTAAGGCATTACTCCAAAGCTGGCACTCTGAATATCCTATTAATCAGTATATTTAAACAGGTTTGCTAGCTAGAATAACAGGAAACTAATAACATAGCTATTAGTAGTAGATTGATTCTGAGTTAAATAAAGAAGAAAAAAAAAAAACCAACACATACACAACATGAAACCCCTCAAAATACTAAAAACAATCACTGGTAAACTGATCAAAAAGCCATAAAACAAGTCTAAGAATTTGCCTCCTTTTATTTTCAGAAATCTTTCTACTCTGATTTTTTCCCCGTCCTCAC